GGGCATAGCCTGGTCTGCCTAAGGAATTTGCAGATCAAGGATTGAACTGGGAATTGAAGTCTCCCCTCTACAATAGATACCACGATAAATGGAACAAAGCTTGACTTGTCCCATGGCGTTGTGTCTAGCTCGACTAGGGAGAGATAAACGTTATCTGGAATGTGGTATTCCCTTCGAAATTCTGCCATGGCCCCAGGTGAGTCCATCAGGAATCGGTATTTACCCATTATACTTAAAATTGTTATATTACAAATGAACACGGATGCCTAGCCCGGTGCTAAGGTAGCTTTGGGTGGCTCGGTTGAGCAAAATCGCCCTGGGGCAAGGTGCAAGGGTGTGCCTAGCCAACCTAGTCAAGTCTGCAAAGTGGAAATAACAAGGGTTATGCCCAGTTAATGGACTAGGCTAAGTAAAATAGACAAAGCAAAATAAGCCTTGCTTGGCTACACCTGGGTTACAGACCATTCCCATTTTGGTCAATAAACATGACCGACTAAGGTTTATAGCTCAGTTATTGGTCAGATAGCTCGGTTTATTATCAATTGCATTTTTAGTTCGGTCGGTTACATGCCTAAAGGTCACAAATAGTTGCCTAGTTCGGTCGTAGTAGGATTTGGGATCAACAAAACAGTTTTAGACAAGTTCTTAGTCCCAATCAGTGTGTTTCCAGGTTTACTCATGGTGTTTCAAGGTTTTTTTTTTTTATATATTGGTTTGGACCTTTGAGTTCATAAGTACATATTTGGTAATTGAGGCACTATCTTTAGAAATAAGCAGAAATAGCTATAAGGGTGAAGAACTTACCGATTGGGGAGTGAAACCCGAATCCACGATGAAAGCAGGTAGTGTTGAGTACAACAAGAGATGCGTAGGCCCAGTCTTGAGCACATGAAGGTTAGGGGTTGAAGCTTAGAGGAACGAAGGCTAGCAAAAAGGAAGATGAACAATAAGTGGCCTTTCAAAAAAGTGAAGCTATATAGTTGGGGCAGAAATGGACGGGACTGTTCAAATTTCATAAGTACAAGACGATTGTAACAGATGTACTTGACTAGTGGGGGCGTGCCACGTGTCCAGAGGAATAAATAACGTTTCAGACGTGCTTGGGTAGTGGAGCGGTGTACAGAGCAACTGGCAAGATATTTCTAGACTGAACGAATTGGGAGCTCAGGTAATATTGAGCCCGATTGGAGGCTTGTGTATCTAACTCGGCTGGAAGAAGAATAATCCCAAACATGCACTGCAGATGGAATTAAGGGGCAATTGAGAGGGCAATTTATGTCTAAATAAGGCCGAGCTAAAGCCATCTGTTGAATGGACCGAGCTAGGTTCATTCCCTTGGTCATTGTGCCACGCTGTGGGCGAAAATTAAAATGGGTTAAGCTCGATCGTAGACTGGACGGGTATTCGGCCTAAGGTTTGAACTGAGGTGGTTATATCAAAGCAGGACCGGGGTACGATGCTGTGGTGTTCCGGAGTGGTTATCTCAATTAAAGACTGCCCTGGTTTTGTTTAGCGTGGGGCAAGGCCTTTCTAGCTCGGTTGAGCTGCTACCGAGCCGAGGTAAGGTGGTTTGGGCCATCTCATTTGGTTGGTAGTAAGAAGGGTGTCATCAGGATAGGTATTATCCTGATGAGTGTGATTCCTAGGAGGATTTTGCTGAAGAGAGTTGGAATCCTACTAGGATTATGCCAAGTAGAATTTACAAAAGCTCATACAGGACCTATGTACAGGTAATGCAATTTTTACTCTAAAATATACAGAGCTTTTGTATCTATTGTCTATTTATTGACTTAGGCATCGGAGAGGTTTCCGGCACACACCCGCCGGCTAGCTCACGTTTGTGTTTTCAAGTAGTAAAGAGACGACGTTTGGAGGAGTGCAAACTTGATCAACAGGATTATACGAGAAGATTATTTTGCGCTCGTACAAATGTATATTATCCTTATTAGAAAATTTATATTAATAAGAACTAAAATTTTAATTAAACATATTGAGTTACTATTTTGGAAATAGATTTACCCAAAGTTTGTCATATTTATCTACAATTTTTGGAGGAGCCTTGCCTCTCAGTCAAACAATTTTTGGACCGGATGGCCTAGTTTGTGTGGTTGTGGTCACACATCACATTCATTTTGGTGTTTTGAATTATTCATCAAATTAGTCAGACATTGACAACTATTAGTCAAATTACATTTTTCTTAACAATTATAAAACATAATTTTAAAAATAGTTTGTTTATTATTTTTTTTATACAAATATAAATCAATTACATTATTACTATGCCTAATTAATTTAATTTTTTTGATTAGATGATATGCTCCGTGGCCCTTAATCACATCCATCTACCAGTGTGAAAGAAAAGGTATAATTTTTTTTTTTTCTTTTCATTTTTTTGGGTGACAACTCCTCTCCAGTCCATTGTGATGTTTGGGTTTGTAGGGCTCACAATGGCCCACCTCGAACCAAGAAGCCCCTCATCTTTCACTTTTCTAGCCGCCAATCCCAGCCCTTCCGACAACAGCTTTGCCACCTTCTCCCCTACATCCGTCACATACAGGTCCCACTCCACCATCCGTTGGGAATTTATGTGTAACAACTCAGATTTTTAATTATTCTGTAAAATTTATACTAATATTATTTAATCATAGTTAGGAAAATATACGATTTATTTTATATTAATATGTGTAATTTTGTAAAAATAATATAATTATTAAGAATTTAAGGGTCAAAGTATAAATAAATAATAATAATAATGGTGTGATAATAAAATAAATAATTAATTTTCTGTGAGTACACGATAAAGTATAATTTAATTATTAATTAATTATGTTTATATAATTATATTAAGAATTTGGGTCAAAGTGTAATTATCTTAATTATTTATATAAGATAAGGATCAATCCATGACATTTATCAACGAATCTGAGAAGAAGGATTCGGACTACCACGTGGTTGGCTCAGGAGGCTTCTACCTCCTTATAAATAGGTGATTCACCTGGGAAAAAAAAGAAAGAAAAGGAAAAGAAAGAAAGAAAGAAAGAAAGAAAGAGAGAAAGGAATGAGAAAGAAAAGAGAGAAGGAAGGAAAAAAATATGAAAGCTAAAAGGGTCTTTGGTAGTGGAAAGAAAGAGTGAGGTATTAAAGTTAAGGTAAGTTATATTATACCTTGAGTTATCATAATATATTTTATGTATGTTTTGACTTACCATATGTAATTTATACAAGTTATGTTTTATAAATTATTATACGTTATATTACTATTTCAGTTACGTGGTTTAATTTCTGAACTCTATTTGTGAAAATGAAACTCATGGATATGTTTATATTTTAAAGAATATTTGACTATAACTTTATAAACAATTATGTTTTATAAGTATCACCACGAAAGTCCCACGCCTTGGGGGACTTAAATAACCATTGGCCTCTGTTTGGCTTTGTGGTCCTCTGTCTGACCACTTTGTGGTCCTTTGTCTGTCATGGATCCATTGACCTCTGTTCTGTGCGGAGATAAGTGCTACACTATTGTGGGAGCCACCTTTATAATCCATACGAGCCACCTCTTGAATCCGTACCTCTATATTGTTATGAATCCATTGACCTCTGTTCTGTACGAAGCAAAGTGCTGTACGGAGCTAAGTGTTACACTATTGTGGGAGCCACCTCTAAAGTTCGTACAAGTCACCTCTTGAATCCGTACCTTTGTTCTGACTGTCACTTCTGTGACCTCTGTTCTGTTCAGTACCATGGTTATGGTTATATACTTACATAATTTTTGTATTTCAGTTTTTGCCACTTAAATGATTTGTTTACCAAATTACCGTGGTTATGGTTATTTATTTACATAATCTCAGTTTGCTACTTAAAGGATTATTTGTTCCGACTAAGTTACCTTAAATGTTTTGGCTACATAACCATCCATGGCTATTTCGTGTCCCTTATACTCTTGGTATAATATTTCTCACTCTGCCATGTGCTTATACATGTTTACTAATTTTCAGGAAATAATGCAATTCAGAAATAGTTTTTGGAAAGTCTTAGATGCGGGGTTGCGGAATAGACACACAACACTTTTGATGATATTTTTATATGTAAATATCAGCCTTTTTGGTCAATATATTTTGTAATAAAAATAAAAGCTCCGTTGATTATTTTGGTACTCTTAATTAAATGTTACTTCCGCTGGCGTTTATTAATTTGTTTAAGAATTGGTCGGAAGTAATCTCAGTTACTGGCCATCACGATACTTAACCCTGAGATACGGGGAGCGGATCGTAACATTATACATCAAAATTAGAGTATTGAGAGCTGCAACAAGGTAACATATTAAAATTATATTTTGCTCCCCTCCTGTAAAAGTACATCTCTAAAATATAATTTAAAATATATAGTCACTATATTTTAATTTATTCTTTCTATCTAAATTTTTATTAATTTTATTTACGTGCATATCTTAAAAAAGTTATAAGTGTTTAAAAATTATTAATTTTAATTTCTAATTTAGATAGAAAGGATTACATTGAAATTATGCTTTAAACTTTAGGAAATAAATATATTGTACAATTTAAAATTATAGAGATTAAACTGAAATTTAATTTTTTTATGTTAAATTTGGATTAATTATACTTTTCACTCCTGGTTTGACTCAAATTTTACTTTAATCTCTATAGTTTCAATTTGAATAATTTGATCTTTACACTTTAAGTGTAGTTTTAATTTAGTTATTCCGTCCTATTTTTTGCTAATTTTGTCTATATATACACCTTAGAAATTGACAAATATTTTAAAATTGTTAATATTAACTTCCAATTTAGAAGAAAGATTCAAATTATAACTTTAGAAAATTGATAAATGTGTTGAATTTATTAATTTTAATATCTAATCTAAATAGATTAATCAAATTAAAATTAACCGACTGAATTATTGATATTAAAACTATAACAACAAAAGCGAAATTTATATCAAATTACAGGAGATCAAACATATAATTAACTCTTTAAATTTTAAAACTTAAAATAAAGTTCCAACACCACCTCCTCCCGGCAAATGGCCGGAATCTTCTCCGCCTCCATAGCCTCCGGCGACATCCAAGCATGCACGTAGTCGTGCCAGCTCGCCACCTTCGACCGGAGAAGATCGTTGTTGCAGGCATACAAGAATCCTTTGAACTCATCCCGAACGTAGTGCTCTGCCTTTATCTCCTGGGGTTGTTTGTGGAATGATCGGATTGACATGAGTGTTTTGTTGATAATATAGTTGGGTACGCCGTGGTTGATCACTTGGAAGAAACCCCAAATTTTCGCGGCTTCTCGAATTTTGCTGACGATGTTTGGTCTGAGCTTGGGGGAATTTATGTTGGAGAGATCAATTACGGGGATGCCGTCGGTGTTAAAAGATGAAGATTTGAGAGTGGAGAGAGTTTCCGGCGGCTGAATGAAGAATTTGGGGATGGCGGTGACACCGGAATCGGAGAGGCCTTTGATGCCGATTTTGGAGTTGTCGAATTCTTTCACTTCCTTCATGCAATTGTATTCGGAATGACTGCCATTTTTCTCACTGTGGTGTGGTGTGGTGTGTGTGTTAATGGTTTGCTTTTTATTATAGTTTTATTTATAACGACTTTCATTGTAAAATTAATAAAAAAAAGTTAGGTGAATTTTGTACACTGGTGTATGAGAGGGTTCAAGAACGTCGTTGGAATATTTGAAGATCTTTGAAGAAGACTCGAATTCCTTTAGAAATGGTGAGAGGCTTAGATTCTTCAATAGTCTCAACTAAGAACACAACAGAAAAGAGATGATGGAGATAAGAGATTGGGTGAAGAAGAAGACAAAGTAGCTAGAGAGAGAATAATGACAAGGCTCTCCTATGGATCTCCCACTTTCACTCTCAAGGTTGATAATGGAGAAGGGAAATTAGTTCTTTCCCAAGAGTTTTCTCTCCAAAATTCATCCCTTATAAAGCTATGGGTGGGTGCTATTTATAGGCACCTCATGATATAGGATGGAGCCCATGTGCAAGGCACATGGGGAATATTCTCTCTAACCACCTTGTCCGAGGAGGTGACCTCTCCGAGGATGAGGAAAACCCTCGAAGAGGAGATCACCCTCTTGGCGAACCCTTCTTCTTAGCCACACCTAACCAATGATCCCCAATCATCCCAAAGGGTCAGGGGTGGTCCCAGAGGACGCCCTACTGCATAAGGGTCAGGGGTAGTTCAAGAGAACGCCCTGCTCAAAATATTACTGAGTCTCAGGGACCCCCTAGATCGTGCCACATCGACCCGGGGGTATAGGCTAGTTTAACCGAAGAGTGAATTTATTTTCACTCGCCGTCCTCAAGATCGGGTCCTTTGTTCGGACTCCATTACGCCCATGGTTCTAGTGTGTAGATCCCGAAAAGCTCCGAGCCCGTAAGTGTTTTGGGACTCATTAATGGAACGGCTTCTAGATTGTGTCTGAATCCGTTCGAAGCCAAGTGCCTCGGATCTCTAGGTTCGTGGATCCGAACCCTTTTGAGTCCGAGCCCGAGTAAGTCTCTAAATTCGTGAATCCAAACCCTTTCAAGGCTTAGGGCGATTCGGCTCGTTTGATGGCGATAAATTCGGGCCCACCAATCTTGGACTATTGGGCCTAATTAATTTAGTGAACTCAAATTAGCTCCTCTTACAACTGGTAACAAAATATCTCATAAGGAGTTAACAAATTTTTATAGGAGGAAAGCATATTAAAAAAATCTTAACAAAAAAGAGACACAACCTCCATATAGCAAGATTATTACAATAAATAATAAAGGGCAAATTACACTAAATGTCCCTATAATTTACGGCTTGTGTCACTTTGGTCCCTAACTTTTCAATTGTGACACATTTTACTCTGAATTTTAAATGTTGTTCTAAATAAAGACAATTGAATATACCATTAATCAATTTCAAGGGTAAAGTTGTCAATTTGATAAAATATAAACTAATTTGACAAAATAAATGTCAAAAAATATTTTTAAGTTTTTAAAATTGTTTCTATCCACCAATGATAAAATTATGTAAAATTGATAAATCTTTTACACATTTATTTTTTTTAACAAATTAATTTTTATTATATGTTTGGATAACGATCATGTAATAGGTGGTTGTTTTTATTTTTATTAAATCAGCTTATATTTTTTCAAAAGTCAAATATGGCTAAAACTTTGATATCATTATTAAACCAAACCAGTAAATCAAAAAATTCAAACCTAAAAAAATTTTATTTATTAAATATATCGATTACACATTAAAAGTCTAGCAATTACCCATTACATTAATTTGGTAAAATAAATAAATAAATGTGTACAAGATTTATCAATTTTACATAATTTTATCTTTGGTGGGTAGAAATAATTTTTAAAAAATCAAAAATATTTTTTTGAAATTTATTTTTGTCAAATTAGTTTATATTTTATCAAATTGACGACTTTGTCTTTGAAATTGAGCAATGATATCTTCAATTGTTCTTATTTGGAACAAGATTCAAAATTCAGGGTCAAATGTGCCACAATTGAAAAGTTAGGGACCAAAGTGATACAAGCCCCAAACTATAGGGACTGTTAGTGTAATTCACCCAATAATAAAAAAATAAAAAAGTAAACCGAAAACAATCCGATCCAAGTCGCTAAACGCATACAAAGTTCTATTACACCTAGGACTGTGCAAAATATCGTCCAATTCGTTAAAATTGCACCGATCCGCATTAATTCGCTCCACTCTAAACTAACATCCATTGCCACCCATCGCCTGTCATCGTCCATGACCATACATTGGTGGCGACTGAGAGTCACCCCTTTCCAGCTCCCTTCCACCGTAAGATTTGGGCCATACTTTCTGGTGAGTTCCTAAACTTGCTTGATTGCAACGGTGAAGGAGTTGTCGAGATTGTTGATCACCACCACCTTATACCTACCCAAAAGTAACTGAAGCACCATGTGGGTTCCAATATACCCAGCACCACCAGTCACAAGTATGTTTTGCGCTGTAACTACACAAACCTAATTTGCATATAGTTATATATCTTTGTGTCTATATAAAGAGAGAGTAATTGAAGACTGTAGACATTTTGGATCTAATGACAATTGTGACTTTGATCAGACTTTAACAATCTGTAAAGTAACCCAGAAACTCTATTAAAAAAAAATTTGGGAAAAAGATGAACATAGTGGGTTGGGTTAGGTTTTGGACTGGTCTAGAATTTGGTTCTCAAATGCTCCTCCTAGATGAAGAAAAAGAAGAAGAAGAAGACCAGGGAGAGGGAGAGAGAGAGAGAGAGGATGGCGATTTTGCGGCAAAGAAATTGTAGCAGAGTTAATGGCAATGGCGGCAATAACGATGGGCGGTGGCTAGGGTTAGGGTTAAGAAATTAGAGTTTTGGTGGAGAAGATAAGGATACTCTAGTAATTTTATGTTAGGACCAAATTATAATAAAAAAAAAATCATTAAGTATGTGCACAAGGATAAGTAAGTGTGCGGAAATAGAATTTTTCAACAGTAATACAAGGGCAAAGTTGTCATTTTAAACCATCTTCTGACTGATGTCATACTTTTTTGTTGGGTCAACATAGGTTTGACTAAGGAAATGATTAAAGTGTTACATTATCTTATAATAGGAGGGAGTACAATGACATTTTAGATAATAAAGAGTATGACAATGTTATTTCAGACAAATAAAAAAAGTGTCAGTGTAATTTATCTAAGAATATGTATTCCCTTCCCATCAAAGAAAATTAATCTCATCGCATCGTGAATCCTAAACCTTTCATTGATTGCAATATTGCATCCTAAACCTTTCATTGGTTGCAATAATGCAGGTCTATGATTATTTATTGAATTCTTTGATTTATATATCGGTGGTGCTATATGCACCAACTAGTGTATCAACTAGTGTTATGACGTTATTATTGACCCCACCTATTATACGAATTACAAACATTGAAAATTTCTAAAATTGTGTCACATCATCTATTAGTACAATATTTAGGCCTCGTTTGGGAACATGCTAATTTAGTAACTTTTTGGCTATTTGACTAAAATATGAGCTAAAAAAAACTAGTATGTTTGGGATGACTTTTTGACTTTTTACGAAAAGATGTGCAAAAAGTAGAGAGAAAATAGAATCTTTGACTTTTTAGTATAGGTTGTTGGTTTTTTGACTTTTTTAATAACTTTTTGACTTTTTGGCTAAACCGGCATGTTGCCAAACGATGCCTTAATACACTAATTGGTATATATAACATTATTCTTTATACATATATATCAGTAGTTGACACGCTTCATTTATGTAATGTAAATAAATAAAGATAAAATAAAATATTTATTATATATTATATGTCATTGATTAAAATTTTCTTTAATATATTTAAGATCTAAGATTTGAAGTTCAATTTTTACCTAATAACCATTGAGGTGGTGGTCCAGTGGAGCTTCGCCCTCTCTCCATACAAGATGTCTGGATTATACACTTGAGAGGCGCAACTTTCTTCAGAAGATTGTTTTGTACTCCTCTTGTAGAGACTTTTGTGGGGAATGGGTGTGGAGCCCATTGTTATCCTAATGAGGGTCCATTCTTTTAAGTTAGGTTAAATCTGGTCGTCAACCGGTTATACCAAGGTCAGAACTTAAGAAAATTATGATATGGAAGTAATCTCAGTTACTGGCCATCACGATACTTAACCCTGAGATACGGGGAGCGGATCGTAACATTATACATCAAAATTAGAGTATTGAGAGCTGCAACAAGGTAACATATTAAAATTATATTTTGCTCCCCTCCTGTAAAAGTACATCTCTAAAATATAATTTAAAATATATAGTCACTATATTTTAATTTATTCTTTCTATCTAAATTTTTATTAATTTTATTTACGTGCATATCTTAAAAAAGTTATAAGTGTTTAAAAATTATTAATTTTAATTTCTAATTTAGATAGAAAGGATTACATTGAAATTATGCTTTAAACTTTAGGAAATAAATATATTGTACAATTTAAAATTATAGAGATTAAACTGAAATTTAATTTTCTTATATTAAATTTGGGTTAATTATACTTTTCACTCCTGGTTTGACTCAAATTTCACTTTAATCTCTATAATTTCAATTTAAATAATTTGATCTTTACACTTTAAGTGTAGTTTTAATTTAGTTATTCCGTCTTATTTTTTGTTAATTTTGTCTATATATACACCTTAGAAATTGACAAATATTTCAAAATTGATAATATTAACTTCCAATTTAGAAGAAAGATTCAAATTATAACTTTAGAAAATTGATAAATGTGTTGAATTTATTAATTTTAATATCTAATCTAAATAGATTAATCAAATTAAAATTAACCGACTGAATTATTGATATTAAAACTATAACAACAAAAGCGAAATTTATATCAAATTACAGGAGATCAAACATATAATTAACTCTTTAAATTTTAAAACTTAAAATAAAGTTCCAACACCACCTCCTCCCGGCAAATGGCCGGAATCTTCTCCGCCTCCATAGCCTCCGGCGACATCCAAGCATGCACGTAGTCGTGCCAGCTCGCCACCTTCGACCGGAGAAGATCGTTGTTGCAGGCATACAAGAATCCTTTGAACTCATCCCGAACGTAGTGCTCTGCCTTTATCTCCTGGGGTTGTTTGTGGAATGATCGGATTGACATGAGTGTTTTGTTGATAATATAGTTGGGTACGCCAAGAAAGAAAGAAAGAAAGAGAGAAAGGAATGAGAAAGAAAAGAGAGAAGGAAGGAAAAAAATTTGAAAGCTAAAAGGGTCTTTGGTAGTGGAAAGAAAGAGTGAGGTATTAAAGTTAAGGTAAGTTATATTATACCTTGAGTTATCATAATATATTTTATGTATGTTTTGACTTACCATATGTAATTTATACAAGTTATGTTTTATAAATTATTATACGTTATATTACTATTTCAGTTACGTGGTTTAATTTCTGAACTCTATTTGTGAAAATGAAACTCATGGATATGTTTATATTTTAAAGAATATTTGACTATAACTTTATAAACAATTATGTTTTATAAGTATCACCACGAAAGTCCCACGCCTTGGGGGACTTAAATAACCATTGGCCTCTGTTTGGCTTTGTGGTCCTCTGTCTGACCACTTTGTGGTCCTTTGTCTGTCATGGATCCATTGGCCTCTGTTCTGTGCGGAGATAAGTGCTACACTTTACCACGGACTCCCCGAGGTATGAATTCAATATGGGTTATTGTAGACCGATTAACTAAATCTGCTCACTTCCTACCAGTAAAGACTCAGTATAACGCGGACAAATTGGCGGTAATTTATGTGAATGAAATTGTGAGGCTTCATGGTGTTTCGATCTCCATTGTGTCAGATAGGGATCCTAAGTTTGTTTCCAGATTCTGACAGAGTTTACAAGAAGCAATGGGTACAAAATTAAGGTTTAGTATAGCTTTCCACCCTCAAATCGACTGTCAATCCGAGAAGACGATACAAACTCTTGAGGAAATGCTCCAATGTGTGTGCTAGAGTTTCGAGAAAGTTGGGAAACCCATCTACCATTGGTAGAATTTGCGTACAATAATAGTTACCATTCGAGTGTAGACATGGCACCCTATGAAGCTTTATATGGAAGACCATGTCGTTCTCCCGTGTGTTGGGCTGAAGTTGGGGACAAATCCTTGTTAGGGCCTGAAATTGTTCAGTTGACAACTGAAAAAGTTCAAGTTATTCGGGAAAGATTGAAAACTGCTCAAAGTAGACAGAAAAGTTATGCGGATAACCGACAGAGGGATTTGGAATTTGGAATTTGAAGTGGATAGTCATGTCTTCGTGAAAGTTACTCCGATGAAAGGACACCCAAGATTCGGAAAGAGGGGTAAGTTATCACCCTGTTATATTGGTCCCTTTCAGATTCTAGAAAGAGTGGGTCCGGTAGCTTACCGAGTTGCCCTTCCGCCACATATGAGTCAAGTACATAATGTGTTTCATGTTTCTATGCTTCGCGGATACCTTCTGGATCCGTCACATGTCATTGATTACCACCAAATTAAGTTGGAAGACAAGCTCATTTATGAGAAAAAACCAATCCGCATTTTGGACCGACAAGTGAAACACTTACGAAACAGAGAAATTCCAATGGTAAAAGTAGAATGGCAAGAACATTACGGAACTGACGCAACGTGGGAAAGAGAGGAGGAAATGCAACACCAATACCCACATTTGTTTCAATCCTAAGGTAAAACAAGTTTGGAGGACCAAACTTATTAAAGGGGGAGATAGTGTAATAACCCGACCCTCGCACACGATTTCTGTTATATTCTCGGTCCTCGATTGGTACTTTTAAATGCTTACTGTAAAATTCCATGAAAAATTATGATTAAGCAAGTGAATTTTATGCTTATGGATGCCTATCTGTTTCTTAAGAAAACTATTTGTCACCACTAAAACGTTTGAATTAGAAATTGGAAGCCTTAACGGCTTAATTATCTGAAATTGATAATATATTTGTGATCAGCATAATTTTTAAGTAATATTAAGCATGTTTACGAAATTTCAATTTTGGAATGATTAAACGATTAAATTTTGTCCTATATGTCATTATTTATGAATATATATACTTAAGTTCTCTTGAGCTTTGATAAAAAACGTGAAGCATCTTTTGGAAAGAATAAGGGTTTGAAAAGAAGAGAAAAAGAGAACAAAGACAAGGTACAACAAGGAAGAGAATTGGGATCAAGTTAGGAGAATCATTGAATTTTTCAAGCTTAAGGTATATTAAAAATTATTGTACATGAAACTTCTCCTTTTAATTGTGAAGACGGGCTTGTTTATGATTTATGTTTGGTGATTTAGGGTTATGGAGAATTGTTCATGATTTATGTTTGCTTGAAGAGGATACTCATCAATTGGTTGTTTTGACATGAAATTATGTCTCAATCTTTGTTTCTCATGTTAAACTCATGAAAATATAATTATATAATGTGTGATGTTTTAATAAACTTGAGGAACTTGAATTAAAGATGGAATTTAGAAGGTTTGTAACTTGAATAAGCTTCTTCTCATGTGTATTTTAGGATGCTCAAGTTCTAGTACATGCTACGGTGAAATTTATACTTCAATCCTTGGTTTTATGCCATGTACCATGTGTTATGATTTATGAACATAAATAACTTAAGTTAAAGGATGGAATTTGGAAAAAATAGTGACTTGATCAAGCTTTGAATCATGTTACTTTGTGATATTCAAATGGTAATTCATGTTATAGTGAAGTTGGGTCCATATATTGCATGAATTTCATAGTGAATTGCATGTAAAATGAAGTGGTGATGTGTAATTGTGAGTTGAAACCGAGCTGCCCCAAAACAGGGCCATGGCGGCTCGAGCGGAGGCCTTGGGCGCTCGAGCGGAGAAAGAAGAAAAACCTGGAGATGACTACTGTCTACGGCCGCTCGAGCGGAGGGTCCGGCTGCACGTGCGGCCTGGGCTGGGAACATGGTTCGCTTCGTTTTGCATGCTTGACTTGCTGGTATTTTTAGAATATTTTTCTGATAATTTTAAGATAGTTGTACATTCATGCAAAGTGTAATGACTCTGGGAATGACTTAAGAAAGAGAGGGGAACTAATGTGCAAGTTTTAATGTGTGCAAGACACACTCCGGGAGGAAGTAACACGTCATCTCAACCCTGTGAGTAGTTGTACGCTTTACTATAGATAATGATTGCCTTAGCATTCTATTGATGATAATTATGCACATGTTATTAATGTTAATGCATGAATGTTCTTAATGTTAATGTATGAACGTTCTTAATATTAATGCATGATGATGAGAAGGTGAACATTTTTCCTACTCTGATAAGTTTCAAGTATGTTTCAAGGGCCTCGTGCCATATGTTTCAAGGGCCTCGTGCCATAAGTTTCAAGCATGTTTCAAGGGCCTCGTGCCACATGTTTTAAGGGCCTCGTGCCATCACGTTTCAAGGGCTTATAGCCACATGCTTATGTTGCAGGATTGGGCCTATGGCCATTATGTACTTAATACAGAATCAGACTCACCGTGTGAACTCTGCATCTTATTATGTATTGATGTATTTCATGTTTTAAGTTAAACATCATTTATTATGTAATACTATTCACTGAGCCTAGCTCACTCTCTATTATGTCTGTTTCTGTAGGTCATCAATCCGGAGGTCAGTCCTAGCCTTGATGCCATCTTCTTTTCTCAACCTTTACGTGTTCAGGCACTATACAAAGCCATTCATTTTGTGAAGTTGTTATGATGTTGGCTTGCTATTTAAGCGTCCATCTAAGGTTGATGTATATAACTTCATGTTTTTTTTTGTATACGCCCAATCATGGGGCTGGAACTGTAAATGTATGTGGATATAACCGATGTCCAGGGACGTAGTTTTAAACTTTGTCCGCCTTTGATGGTGTATGTGATGTATGAGATCCTGGCATATTAGAAATAGCTCAATGGAGTAGTTTGTATCTATATTATGTTTGTATTTTATGTTTCCGATAAGGCCCCATAGGTTATGTATATCAGGTTATACGTCCGTTTCTGAATAGGCCATGCCCCAACTTTTAGGGGCAGGTTTGGGGTGTGACAAGTGGTATCAGAGCACGTGTTGCTATCTCACACACGGATCCATTGAGCTGTAGGGTGTCTAGAAAAGATTTAGACATCATGCATGACGTCCTAAAAGTATAAGACAAGTTCAATGGCAACATTACGTGTACTCTGATAATGCTAACAATTTTGAACTATGTCTATTGTATATAATTGATTGTTGTGTAGATCATGGTGAGAACAAGGACAGAAGATGTGGAAGATGCTACCTCAGCACGACTGGATAGGATGGAGAGGATGATTATGGAAATGGCGGAGACTCTACGTCAACAATAGCAACTGCCTCAACAACAGCTGCCACCGCCACCAGTACCTCCACCAGCAGCACAAGATTTTCATCCTGAAGACCGGACTATTACCCTTACTAAGGAGTTTAAAAAGATGAAACCGCCGTCTTTCAAAGGGGGAATAGAGCCAATGAAAGCTGAAGCCTGGGTGTTGGGAATAGAGAAGTTATTCGAAGTTTTCCCTTGTACCGAAGCTCAAAAGGTGCAACTAGCTACCTTCACTCTTGAGGACGAGGCCCGGAGGTGGTGGATGCTTACGAGAACAATCCATCTAGGGTTAACATGGGACAGATTTCTGGAGCTGTTTTATGATAAATATTTCCCTCAAAGCATGCGGGATAAAAAGGTGACTGAATTTAAAACTTTCAGATAAGGGAACAAGACTGTTGCTAAATATGAGGCCCAATTTGCAGAGTTAGCCCGGTTTGCACCGCACATGGTGGGCATGGACTACAAGAAGGCATGAAAATTTGAAGAGGGATTACGAGGAGAAATTCTAGATCGAGTCAATATGTTGAAGTTACCTACCTATGTAGACGTACTGGAGAGGGCTGTTATAGCTGAGGGAAACCTTGCTGCTCAGAATCGGATCACCGAGTGGAAAAGAAAAAGGCTGAATAATCAATGGTCAAAGGGGCCAAGTATTCCACCAAACAAGAAACGAAATTTAGGGACTTCCAATACTTCTGCCCCTAGTCAAGGTACGATTCCTGCTTGTTCGGAATGTGGAAAGAGGCATCGTGGGACATGCCAATGGAAGTCTGGAGCCTGTTATCAGTGTGGCAAAACGGGTCATTTGATAAAGGATTGCCCTCAGAGGAATCAACGAAATGGCGATAAGGCTGCTACCAGTTCAACGGGGTCTGCACCAACTGCCAACACCAAGTCAGCTGCTAAATCTACTAACAATAAAGACACAGCGAGACAAGGCAGAGTGTTTGCATTGGTTCCAGGAGATGTGCAGAATGCAGCAACAGTGGTGTCAGGTACATTTATGGTTCACGGTCATTCTGCTTCTGTCTTATTTGACTCTGGCTCTACTCATTCCTTCGTGTCAAAATTATTTGCACAAAACTTAGATAAAACCGAAGAAACATTGTCTTATATGTTATGTGTATCTTCACCTATGGGAGATTCTGTGCTGTGTACTTCTGTTTATTGTGGTTGTGAACTCGAGCTTGGGGATGTCCGGGTATATGCCAATCTGTTACCTCTTGATATGACTTATTTTGATATTATTTTGGGAATGGATTGGTTGGGTGAATATGGTGCAACTATAGATTGTCTAACTAAACAAATCAGTTTCCACCCTCCGGGACAATTAGAGTCTACCTTACAGGGGCATGGCGTAATTTCTCCACCTTATTTGATCTCGGCAGCGAAGGCTTGTAAATTAATTCAAAAAGGGTGTCAGGGGTATTTATGCAGTGTTTTGAAGGGGCAGGTGAATGGAAATATCGACATGATCCCAATTGTGTGTGAATTTCCGGATGTCTTTCTTGAAGAATTGCCAGGGCAGTTGATAGACCGTGAAATTGAGTTTACCATTGAAGTAGCACCGGGAACCCAACCCATTTCGAAGACTCCGTATAGAATGTCGCCAGTTGAGATGAAGGAATTGAAAATGCAGTTGCAAGATTTATTGGACAAGGGATTCATCCATTTGAGTGTGTCTCCGTGGGGTGCACCAGTACTGTTTGTAAAGAAGAAGGATGGAACACTCCAGCTTTGTATCGATTACAGGGAACTTAATAAAGTCACAATCAAGAATAAGTGTCCATTGTCGAGAATTGATGACCTATTTGATTAGCTGCAGGGGGCACAAGTCTTTTCCAAGATTGATCTACGGTCTGGATACCATCAATTAAAGGTCAAGGCTGATGATGTTGAGAAGACAGCTTTTCGAACCCGGTATGGTCATTATGAATTTTTGGCTATGCCCTTCGGAGTCACTAATGCACCAGCAGCTTTTATGGATTTGATGAACCGTGTTTTCAAGCCCTATTTAGATGAATTTGTGGTGGTTTTTATTGACGATATTCTCATCTATTCGAAGAATGCAGATGCTCACGAGAATCATCTTCGTTTGATTCTTCTGACCCTCCGGGAAAAGAAATTGTATGCAAAGCTGAAAAAATGTGAATTCTGGCTACTAGAGGTAGCATTCTGGGGCATATCATCACAAAAGAAGGAGTTTCCGTTGACCCACACAAGATTGAGGCAATCATAAATTGGCCAACTCCTACTAATGTGACTGAGGTGCGTAGTTTTATGGGGTTAGCTGGCTATTACCGGAGATTTGTTCAAGATTTTTCTAAAATTGCTGTGCCACTTACACAACTGACTCGAAAGGGAGTTGCAGTCAAATGGTCAGAAGAGCGAGAATCTGCTTTTCAGGAATTGAAGACAGGGTTGACAACAGCACCAGTTTTGGCCTTACCAACCGGTACAGAGGGATTTGTAATCTACAGTGATGCTTCGCACAAAGGGCTTGGTTGTGTACTGATGCAAAATGGAAGAGTCATCGCTTATGCCTCTCGGCAGTTGAAACCCCACGAGAAGAACTATCCCACGCATGATCTTGAGCTGGCAGCAGTAGTTTTTGCTTTGAAAATATGGAGACACTATTTGTATGGCACCACTTACGAAGTATATACTGACCACAAGAGTCTCAAGTACCTTTTTACTCAAAAAGAGTTGAACATGCGACAGCGACGGTGGTTGGAACTTCTTAAAGATTATGATTTGCAGATTCATTATCATCTTGGTAAAGCCAACACAATTGCAGATGCACTCAGTCGGAAAAGTATGGGGACTTTGGCAAGTTTAGTTACCGGGCAAAAGGAATTAGCAATTGAATTGGATAACATGGAAGTAGACTTGGTGCTACATGGACAGGAAGCTTTAATGGCAGCAGTGATGGCCCAACCAACCCTACTTGAGGAAATTAAATTGCATCAGATAAAAGATGAAGCTCTAAAGAAGATATGTGATGAGTTAGGAACAAAATCAAAATCGGGATTCAGTTTGGGATTCAGTTTGGTAGACTCAATGCTCAAATTTCAAAACCGAATATGTGTCCCCAATGTGTTAAACCTTAAGCAAAAGTTGATGGAAGACGCACATACCTCAAGGTTTTCAATGCATCCAGGGAGTACCAAAATGTACCGAGATTTGAAGCGAAATTTTTGGTGGCCAAGTATGAAGAAGGAGGTCGCGGAGTTTGTCTCTAAGTGTTTGTAATGCCAGCAAGTAAAAGTGGAGCATCAAAGACCTGCCGGTTTGTTGCAACCTCTTCCCATCCCGGAGTGGAAATAGGAACATTTGACTATGGACTTTGTTGTGCGGTTACCACGGACTCCCCGAGGTATGAATTTAATATGGGTTATTGTAGACCAATTAACTAAATCTGCTCACTTCCTACCAGTAAAGACTCAGTATACGCGGACAAATTGGCGGCAATTTATGTGAATGAAATTGTGAGACTTCGTGGTGTTCCAGTCTCAATTGTGTCAGATAGGGATCCGAAGTTTGTTTCTAGATTCTGACAAACTTTACAAGAAGCAATGGGTACCGAATTAAAGTTCAGCACAACTTTCCATCCCCAGACCGACGGTCAATCCGAGTGAACGATACAGACTCTAGAGGATATGCTCCGAATGTGTGTACTAGATTTTCAAGAAAGTTGGGAAACCCACCTACCGTTGGTAGAATTTGCGTACAATAATAGCTACTATGCGAGTATAGATATGGCACCCTATGAAGCTTTGTATGGAAGACCATGTCGTTCTTCCGTGTGTTGGGCTGAAGTTGGGGACAAATCCTTGTTAGGGCCTGAAATTGTTCAATTGACAACTGAAAAAGTTCAAGTTATTCGGGAAAGATTGAAAACTGCTCAAAGTAGACAGAAAAGTTATGCGGATAACCGACGGAGGGATTTGGAATTTGAAGTGGATAGTCATGTCTTCGTGAAAGTTACTCCAATGAAAGGACACCTAAGATTCAGAAAGAGGGGTAAGTTGACACCCCGATATGTTGGTCCATTCCAGATTCTGGAGAAAATTGGTTCTGTGGCCGGTAGCTTACCGAGTTGCCCTTCCGCCGCATATGAGTCAAGTACATAATGTGTTTCATGTTTCTATGCTTCGCGGATACCTTCCGGATCCGTCACATGTCATTGATTACCACCAAATTGAGTTGGAAGACAAGCTCATTTATGAGGAAAAACCAATCCGCATTTTGGACCGACAAGTGAAACACTTACGAAACCGAGAAATTCCAATGGTAAACGTAGAATGGCAAGAACATTACGGAACTGACGCAACGTGGGAAAGAGAGGAGGAAATGCAACACCAATACCCACATTTGTTTCAATCCTAAGGTAAAACAAGTTTGGAGGACCAAACTTATTTAAGGGGGAGAGAGTGTAATAACCCGACCCTCGCACATGATTTCTGTTATATTCTCGGTCCTCGATTGGTACTTTTAAATGCTTACTGTAAAATTCCATGAAAAATTATGATTAAGCAAGTGAATTTTATGCTTATGGATGCCTATCTGTTTCTTAAGAAAACTATCTGTCACCACTAAAACGTTTGAATTAGAAATTGGAAGCCTTAACGGCTTAATTATTTGAAATTGATAATATATTTGTGATCAGCATAATTTTTAAGTAATATTAAGCATGTTTACGAAATTTCAATTTTGGAATGATTAAACGATTAAATTTTGTCCTATATGTCATTATTTATGAATATATATACTTAAGTTCTCTTGAGCTTTGATAAAAAACGTGAAGCATCTTTTGGAGAGAATAAGGGTTTGAAAAGAAGAGAAAAAGAGAACAAAGACAAGGTACAACAAGGAAGAGAATTGGGATCAAGTTAGGAGAATCATTGAATTTTTCAAGCTTAAGGTATATTAAAAATTATTGTACATGAAACTTCTCCTTTTAATTGTGAAGACGGGCTTGTTTATGATTTATGTTTGGTGATTTAGGGTTATGGAGAATTGTTCATGATTTATGTTTGCTTGAAGATGATACTCATCAATTGGTTGTTTTGACATGAAATTATGCCTCAATCTTTGTTTCTCATGTTAAACTCATGAAAATATAATTATATAATGTGTGATGTTTTAATAAACTTGAGGAACTTGAATTAAAGATGGAATTTAGAAGGTTTGTAACTTGAATAAGCTTCTTCTCATGTGTATTTTAGGATGCTCAAGTTCTAGTACATGCTATGGTGAAATTTATACTTCAATCCTTGGTTTTATGCCATGTACCATGTGTTATGATTTATGAACATAAATAACTTAAGTTAAAGGATGGAATTTGGAAAAAAATAGTGACTTGATCAAGCTTTGAATCATGTTACTTTGTGATACTCAAATGGTAATTCATGTTATAGTGAAGTTGTGTCCATATATTGCATGAATTTCATAGTGAATTGCATGTAAAATGAAGTAGTGATGTGTAATTGTGAGTCGAAACCGAGCTGCCCCAAAACAGGGCCATGGCTACTCGAGCGGAGGCCTTGGGCGCTCGAGCAGAGAAAGAAGAAAAACCTGGAGATGGCTACTGTCTACGGCCGCTCGAGCGGAGGGGTATGACCGCACGTGCGGTGCATGGCCGCTCGAGCGGAGGGTCCGGCCGCACGTGCGGCCTGGGCTGGAAACATGGTTCGCTTCGTTTTGCATGCTTGACTCGCTGGTATTTTTAGAATATTTTTCTGATAATTTTAAGATAGTTGTACATTCATGCAAAGTGTAATGACTCCGGGAATGACTTAAGAAAGAGAGGGGAACTAATGTGCAAGTTTTAATGTGTGCAAGACACACTCTGGGAGGAAGTAACATGTCATCTCAACCCTGTGAGTAGTAGTACGCTTTACTATAGATAATGATTGCCCTTAGCATTCTATTGATGATAATTATGCACATGTTCTTAATGTTAATGCATGAATGTTCTTAATGTTAATGCATGATGATGAGAAGGTGAACATTTTGCCTACTCTCATAAGTTTCAAGTATGTTTCAAGGGCCTCGTGCCACATGTTTTAAGGGCCTCGTGCCATCACGTTTCAAGGGCTTATAGCCACATGCTTATGTTGCAGGATTGGGCCTAAGGCCATTATGTACTTAATACAGAATCAGACTCACCGTGTGAACTCTGCATCTTATTATGTATTGATGTATTTCATGTTTCAAGTTAAACATCATTTATTATGTAATACTATTCACTGAGCCTAGCTCACTCTCTATTATGTCTGTTTCTGTAGGTCATCAATCCGGAGGTCAGTCCTAACCTTGATGTCGTCTTCTTTTGTCAACCTTTACGTGTTCAGGCACTATACAAAGCCATTCATTTTGTGAAGTTGTTATGATGTTGGCTTGCTATTTAAGCGCCCATCTAAGGTTGATGTATATAGCTTCATGTTTTTTTTTTTGTATACGCCCAATCATGGGGCTGGAACTGTAAATGTATGTGGATATAACCGATGTCCAGGGACATAGTTTTAAACTTTGTCCGCCTTTGATGGTGTATGTGATGTATGAGATCCTGGCATATTAGAAATAGCTCAATGGAGTAGTTTGTATCTATATTATGTTTGTATTTTATGCTTCCGATAAGGCCCCGTAGGTTATGTATACCAGGTTATACGTCCGTTTCTGAATAGGTCATGCCCAAACTTTTAGGGGCAGGTTTGGGGTGTGACATTAAGCCCACTTGAGAGTGGCAAAATCATATTCTCTAAGCCCAGTTGAGGGTGGCAAAAATCTGCATTTTTAGCCTACTTGCGGGTAGCATCATCAAACCATCTTCAAATAAACAAACATGACATGTCTTGTTCCAATATAGGCGACTTAGTCTATACTTGTTTGCTGTGCGCATCACGTAGTAAATCTAGGCTAATAACCAGAATAAGAATGCATAATGTTTTCAAAACTAG